CCCCACCACCAACAGCACTGCAGCTCAGGGCCCCTGACGCACCCCATGGTCTCAATGAAATCCACACACAGGATGATGTCAAACTGGCCGGGTCTCAGTACGAATTCAGGGTCATGGGGTCTCTGCACTCCAGAGCCACCCGCTGCCCTCTCCTGACATCCCAGGGCGCCATCGAGCCTGCAGGAAAGTGGGGCAGACAGCACAATGAGAGCAGAGCCATGGAGAGGGGCCAGCAAAGGTAGGGAAGTCCTGTTCCACCCCCCAGCCTCCCAAGAGCACATGCTGGGGGAAGCTGGGAGTCGCTGCTACAGTGAGCAGCAACGCTCCCTTTGGCTGGGTCTGGAGAGACCAACCAGCCACAATGAATGGAGGGAGGGCTCCAACCACTAGACCCCACTTCCCTCCCAAAGCAAGGACCCCGCAGTTCTGACTCCCACCACCTGCACTCCGACCTGCTAGACTCCAGTCCTGCCCCAGTGTTGCAGGAGTCCTGCCCCCTCCCTGGGGGTATACCCCGCCTCAGGCAGGCACTCACAACTGGGGCTCCAGGCATAGTGTCTCCTCTGCAGCAGGATCTGGGGGTTGGGCACCCTGGGAGATCTCAGATTCTGGGGCTCGATCCTCTGAAATCGGAGCCTGCTCTGCAGCCACAAGCCTCTGGGCTAGCGCCAGCCCCTGCGCTGTCAAAGAGAACCTGCGGGGAGCAAAGGGCATCTGTACAGTGTCCCGTCTGCCGCCCTGCTAAACCCTCGCTCTGTACCCACAGCCTGGCACTTCATGCCGATCCCCGGCCCTGCAGCACGACACTCCTACTGAATCCCTGCCCTGCTCCCTAGCAGATCTGCAGCCACAAGCCTCTGGGCTAGCGCCAGCCCCTGCGCTGTCAAAGAGAACCTGCGGGGAGCAAAGGGCATCTGTACAGTGTCCCGTCTGCCGCCCTGCTAAACCCTCGCTCTGTACCCACAGCCTGGCACTTCATGCCGATCCCCGGCCCTGCAGCACGACACTCCTACTGAATCCCTGCCCTGCTCCCTAGCAGAGCTGACCCCCCCACTGGGCCTCTGGGAGCGCGTGGGTACAATCCAGGCACGCTGAGCAGGATCAGGCACTCGCTGCCTGGCTCCTTCCCATGCGGGACGCTCCCTTGAGGTGCAGCCTTTCACCTGTTGGCCCCCATGGCAGACAGATCCCCAAGGCCAGCAGCGAAGGGGTAACAGCACCAGGCTCATTCCAGCCAACAGACTGGCCCCCCAGGAAAACTGGGTCATGGGGAACACGGGGGGCAGAAGCAGCCTGGGCAGCGAGGTCACCTGGCTGGGCCGGGCTCGCCTGGGGCAGCTGATGTCAGGGGACCCTTTCACTGGAGGCTGGACAGTTATAAAAGGGGGGAGCTGAGCTCTTGGGAGGCTTGGGCCATTTTCAGCAGCTCCAGCAGAGGGAGAAGCCTTGAGCCAGAAGCCTTGTCAGAGCCCAGACAGGTCAAGGCCTCCCCAGGGAAGGCGGAGCTAGCGGTTAGTGCTGTGGGCAGGAGGCTGGGTCTGAGCTCTGTGCTGGGTGTGAAGAGGTAAAGAGAGCAGCAGGGGAGTCTGGGAGGTGTCTGACACCGTGGGGCTCCTGCAAGCACTGAGTTGCACCCAGAAGGCTCACCCCTCAGGACAGGGGCTGTCTGCATGGTGATCAGGCTGAGGGGCTGTGCTGCATCCAGGTACTAAGCTCACAGGAAGAGCTGCACCCCAAAAGAGGGACAGGGCCTGGACACAGGTGAGGCTCAAGTAACAGGGACCCAGAGGCCGGATTCTCTTCCCTGTCGGCCGGCCGAAGGCAAGCACATGCCCAGTAACACAGACTAGGGAACCAGCTTATGACACTCATCCTAGTGTAGAATAAGCTGCAAGATTTGCAGGGGGAGACAGAGCAGTGATGTTTCAGGCAGGTATCCTCCAGCAGACCAGGGTGCACCAGCCTAGCTGTCCACCAGGTGGAGACAGAAGGCAACTTTCCCATCTCCTTTCAGTCATGGGGAAAAACTGCCCACCACCTGGAACATGCTGCATGGGGAAAAACTGCCCACCACCTGGAACCTTGGGGGGCTTGGGGGGGCACTGCCCCTTGGGGGGCTTCAGCTGCCCAACAGCCCAAGCAGCAAAGGGTTAGGGAAAGGCTCATGCAATCACAGTGTCTGATGCTTCCCCCATGCCCCCAGTGGAAGAGGTTCTAGACAAGGGGATGCTTGCCCCCTTGGCACCATGGACCGCACCAAGGGCAAGAAGGGGGTGCCAGGTGCTTTCACCCCTCACCAGGACTCTAGAAGTCCCTGGATTTACCTCTGGCCTAAACAGAACCTGCCACCTTTCAGTGCCTAGTCGCTGAGTTACTGAAGGGAATGGAGGACTTGGCCTTTTGATCCACCCCATGGCCTGTCCCAGTGAGACTCCAAGACAGAGTCTTTGCCTGCTGCAGCCCAAGGCTGCTCAAAATGGCTGGTAGGTCCCTTTAGGAGCTGTGCACCCCTGGTGGGCAAAGGGAGCTGCAATGATTGGGCTGGAGGCAGCGCACAAATTCTCCCCTCCCCGCAAGGGGCATGTGGTGCCCTCACCCTGTGCTGCTGCCTCTGATACAAGGGCAAGGCAAACAAATGGCTCCCACGGGAACAAAGGAACAACCTGTTAAGGGGCTGGTTTGAAGGTTGCTCCTGTGATCAGACAGGATGCCCGCATGGGCAGAGTGAAGATGGAGCTCAGAGAACCAGAATGTGGCAAAGCATTTGCTGCTACCAACATGGACTCTTAAGTGTGGCTTTCCCAGGCTGCTGGAGAGCCCTGCGACACTGGATCCCAGGTGACGACATTATGCTCCCTCAGCCTGGCCAAGCTGCCCAGCTTCCCTACAGACCCTGGCGTCGCTGCAGCAAGCTCAGGAGAGACCCACACTGAGTCACTAAGGCTGCCTGGCTGGCAGCTGCCCTTAAGGAAGGTGTGGGCCTCTGGGCACTGGGGTTACGCCCAGGAGACTGGGTAATGGCCAGGGTATGCCCACAAAAACCCACAGCAGCACACTACTCCCTGCTGAAGCCCATTCCCCATAGCACAGCACCCTTCCAAAGGCCAGCACTCCCTCCCGAACCCTGAACCATGCCTCCTGCAGCACAGCACCCTACCTGGCCGGTACATTGGTTTTCAGCACCAGCTCTTTGCGGATCAAGGTGCCCACCGATGCCCAAGCTGTGTACCTATTTCCCGGGTCACCCTGCAAGACACAGATACCCCATGTGACTCTTCTGGGTGGGACCTGCTTGAGCCGGAGGGCAAGACTGGGGGAAGTAGAGGCTGGGGGGGAACTTGAGGGGGGGGGGTGGAGGGATGGGGCTCATCAAGACTAACACTCCCCCAATAAGAGGTGCCTGTCATCAACTCCAAGCCTCCTGAGGAATGTTTGATGGTGCTGGACTGAAAGGGGCCAGCTGGGGGACGCCACGGCAGCTCTCACTCACCAGGGTGAAGGATTTGTCACACAGCGGCTGAGCTGCCCGTTGCAGCTCAGGCTTCGTCAGGAACCCCCGGCTGTGTGGGCTCTGTAATGGGGAGCAGGGAAGTCAGCAGTGGAGAGAGAACATCGGAAGCCTGGCTCCAAACCCCACTCCCTTCCCAGTGCTAAGAACAGAACCCAGGGATGCCGGCTCCCAGCCCACTGCTCTAGCCATTAGACCCTACTCCCCTCCCAGAGCAGGGGCATGGAACCCAGGATTCCAGGCTTACCATGCTGTCCTTGTAGAGGGCTAGCAGCACAGCATAGCCCCCAGAGCGTGGGGCTGGGATGTACGCCCGGGCTGGACGGTGCTTCCTCTGGAAAGAGAAGTGAGAATCAGCAGGGTCCCCACTCTGATCTCCTCACTGTACCGACGTCCTTCCAAGCCCCCACCTGTCCCTGCAACCCACAGGGACTTACCCAGCATCTCAGAGAGCCAGTTCCAGGGCTAGAACCCAGGAATTCTAACTCCACCCCCCTTCCCTAACCACTAGCCCCCCCCCTTCTCTTCCCAGAGCCAGATAGATCCCAGGAGACCTGGTTCCAAGCCCTTCTGCCAGAGGCTGTGCTCTCACCATGGCGGGAGGCTCCCGGTCCACAAGTGAGTCCTGTGAGGCAGAAGGGTCATCGGGGGAGTGTCACTTTCCTGTGCTCCCATGGAGGGGCTGGCCCCTCCCACAGTTTCAAAGAGCACCTCTGCACCTAGGGTTCAAAAAGAAATAAGTTAGGTGCTCCCTCAACCAGCCAGTCCCCCTACCCTGGGCCCGGATTGGAGCCTATGCCCCCTAAAGGACAGGTCCTTTCTCCTATTCCCAGCCTCCCTCAGCCAGACCATTCCCCCACCCTCCAGCTGGAGACATGGGGGGGACTCCTTCCCGGGAGCAGACTCTCACTTGTTAGGCTCAAGGACAGGCACCATGGGAGGGAGGGGGAGACAATTCCCTCCCATTTAATATGAGAGACCCTACAATAACAAAGCACTGGCATTTGATTTCAAATCTGCCACAGTTGTTTAGGATCTTAAAGATAGTGGAACCTGCTATCTAGGACCACTGGTGCACCTTATGCCTTCGTGTGGCTGCCTGCCCCCTGCTCATCATCCTTCAATTCATGCCATCCTGGGGACCCCTCAGCCCTGGTACCCCATCCCTGGTGCTCTGCACCTACCCTCCTCAGCTCGGTGCTTCTCCAGCTGCTCGTCCAGCCTCCGGCAGATCCCATCCCCAAAATGCTGTAGAATCGCAGCCTCACGCCCACTGCGCAGGGGCAGCGGGTACCTCCGAAGAGAGCTCAGGGCCTGGCAGAGAGGAGATACTGACACAGGGAGCCTCCAGCTCATCCTCCCCCAGTGTGATCCCAGCACAGGAGCCAGGACTCCTGGGTACCGTGGGGGCTAGCGAGATAGAGCAGGGGGCTGGGAGCCAGGATTCCTGGGCGTTAGTCCCAGCTGGAAAGGGAGGGGAGTGATGTGCAGTGGTCAGAGCAGGAGGGCAGGTCTGGGAACCAGGACTCACCCTCTCATACACGCCTCCAGCTCATCCTCCCCCAGTGTGATCCCAGCACAGGAGCCAGGACTCCTGGGTACCGTGGGGGCTAGCGAGATAGAGCAGGGGGCTGGGAGCCAGGATTCCTGGGCGTTAGTCCCAGCTGGAAAGGGAGGGGAGTGATGTGCAGTGGTCAGAGCAGGAGGGCAGGTCTGGGAACCAGGACTCACCCTCTCATACACGAACTGGGTCTTCCTGCCCTTCTCGGCAGCCTCATCCCTCCACTCCGTCAGCCACCGCACGAAGAGCGGGTTCGGGCAGGCGGGCACC